CCCCTGCTTTACCTGATGCAGGTTACTGTGTTACACCTTGCAGATGTGAACTGAGTTGACTGTCATTTTAGCAATAAGTTAGACAAGACTTGTGGGATGGTTTTGGTAGGTTTGATTCTGTTTCAGGTAGGGGATTGGACTAGATTACCTCCAGAGATCCCTTCCAGCTCTACCCTTCTATGATTCTGTAACCTCTTAATTTACAAAAGCACCTTATAGTAAAAACAGCATAGCAGTACAGTGAACAAAATATACCAGTAAGGTCATCAGATACAGCTCTCATGGAAACAAGCATGGAATAAACATCTAAACCCATAAAAAGCATTTTAGGTTAGGACCATGTCATGTTACACTTAGATGTGTTAAGTACATTTAAAATGCAAACAGCTATGTAGTCAAATAGTAAGTCACATGCTAAGTGCAACTGTATCACAGCAAAGTTAGGACTTTTTGTGGAAGAAATCTCTCCAGATTGTATTAAGTACTACATGCTCAGCTATCAGACTGCTCCACAGAGATGATACAAACTCAAGACTCCATTGAGATGCAGGAGCTGGGTTGACTGTTAGTCTCAACCCTGTCTTTGCACCCACGTCTTGAACCAACTCCCCCATGGTGCTGGGCTGGGACCAACAATTGACAGTTGGTCCTAACCACAACACTGCACCAGAGTCTTGAACCAACCCTGGTGCAGTGCCAGGGCTGGGACCAACAATCAGCTGACTGTCAGTCCCAGCCCCAGCATTGCCTCAGAGCTAGCTCAAGGCTGCAGCAGCAGAGACCCAGCTCACCCCATGGATCCATCGGCAAGAGCTCCCTTTGCCTGCCACCAGGGGCAGAGCAGGCTTACTTTGGCAGTCCCAGGTTGGACAGTGCTAGGAACAAAGCAAGGAAGGCATGGGCTCCAGGTATGAGGGTTGCATGTCCTCACAGGAAGATATGCGAGCTGCAGCACCCAGTGTTGGGGTCAGTTTTGTGGGGAGGAGGAGACGGGCTGAGGCACAGCTGGCTCCAGCCCTGTCTAGAGTGAGATGAGACTGTAGTAAGCATTACCATGTGACTGCTCCGAACATGTTCTAATTTTTAATATAGTGTGACAATGTTTGCAATGATCTAAATAAAATATGTGCTAGGTGTCCCATATGACAAGGCCCTAATTGTTTTGCACAATAGACCTCAGAAGCATTGCTCAAAATTAATAAAATGTTTTTGGAAACATCTGTTCCATAACTGCAGAGAAAAAAACAAATATCATTAAGGTATGTGTTTAAGCAGGAAAATCAAAATCTGATGGTCAAGATGACAAAAGGTTTGTGGATTTCACATAAATTATCCAGAAATATTTTTCCTACAGTTACACACCATTAAATCTTGCCTAAAAAGAGAGATGTAAATTCATTCATGGCTTAAAGTAATGTCTCTTAGCCCATCACTTCAGAAGCTTTTTTTTATGTTGTTGAACATAAAACATTTAAATGGTATGTAAACATTTATATTCAGCAATTTTAATGCCTGAACATTGCCCCTACTTCAGCACACAAGTTGCCTACTCAGCACAAATTAAAGTAGACCCCAGCAAAACATACAAACTAATTGTCACTGGTTCATCAGTTTTACTAACATTAACAAAATGCATTGAAGTAAGATAACTCAAAATGTTGCGTGTGGAACAGCAAATAGTTCCAGCCTATTCAAATAAACGTAAACTCCATTAGGTAAATAATAAAATCCACAGAAGTCTAAAGGAATTTTCCATCTACCCTTCTTCCACGCTTTTTAACATTAAGTATAAATAAATTATTTTCCAGGTACTACACATTGACAATTAATAATATTTAAATGTATGGTGTCCCACTAAATTTCACGTCATGTTGCAAACATAACTAAGTTATAAAATATGCTAACAGGCAAATAAGTCTTGGTCTTGGCATTTTCTATAGCTCCCATACCATCATAGGAGTATTTTCTATTGCTCCCGTCACCACCATACTAGAACATTTTACAGATAAGCCTGTTCTCCCTATTTTTCAAGCACTATTAGTTGAAAGAATAGGTAGCCAGTGGATATCACAATCTTCATCTGACCTCCTGCCTTCTCAGATGCAGTCTCTTCCCAGGAAGGTCAGCTCTACAACTCCTGAAAACTGGCCACAGCCACCATATTTCTCAGAAGTTAACAAGGACAGTTCCAGCCAATACACCAATGCTGGCAAGAAGGTACATACCACGAAACCGAGATAGCAAGTTTAGTAATTTTCCCAAAACCAGAGACTGAGCCAGTTTTGGAGCAAGAAACAGATCTTAGAAGTTCAGTTCCCTTAGCTCTGTACTTAAAACATGCTCTAAAGGACTGCACATTTCCCCATTTAAATCAGCAATTGATATCACTGCATTATCTTTACGTGCAATTCAGAAGAACAATACCATTTCTTAACCTTAATGTTTGCCAAAGCATTAATCAATCTTTATGAAATTATGTGCCTGCTTTGCACAAAAAAGAAAAGGAATGAAGGCTGCCTATACCTCTTAAGGTCTGGATGTTTATAAGGCTGCAATACACTTGTAAGCAACTTGGAATTGTCTGGCAGAGATGAACAAACTCATGTAAATAATCAACAATCGATATAAAGAACTCTCTAAGGAGAAAGCTATACAATACTGACCTAGATTACTGCATTCTGCTGACACAAGCAGTGTTTCAGCTATCATACATGATAACCGGAAAACTGTAAGATCAGGCCAGGAATTGGGATGTTGGGGATTTTGTTGTTGTTGTTAAAATGCAAAAGGATTTTTTCTCCAAAATCTTGTTAGTATCACGTACAGGCAGAAAGGCAGAACAAATTAAAAACAGTATCATCAGGGATCCAGTGCTGGCATTAAGAGGCATAAACAGGAAAGATATCGACCCTGGTCTGTTTCATGAAATGTTACGATATTGTTACACTAACAGATAAAACGTAATACAATACCTTTCTTAATTGATATTTTTAGACAATTTATCTGGTGTTATGGTATAACAAATCATAGCTTTCCCCATGCTTTTCCATCTCCTGCTTAACCCATAAAAGGACCAAGAAACAGCATCTTTTTTATATATATTAAAGGCACATTTGTAAAGTGTTACAGTTACCATGTAAACCCAGGTAACTAAACACATTGTTTTCTCTCCATTTTAGTTTATTTGAAAAAAATGTAACAAGTGAATTTGTAACTCCATGCCCCCCTAATCAATCTTGTTTAACAACAGAGTGAAAGATGAAAGCAGTAATAGTTACAATAGTTCCTAGTTACAATATTATTGTGTCAGCTCAGGCACCTCATTTATATGGCATGAACAAATACAAATAAACACACTCATTAAAAATAATAATCTAATTCTGCTGCTATTTTTCCATATGTATTATATTATCTAGTTCTGTCAAAAACATATGAAATAATTTGAAATCTATTTTAATGGGATACAACATTTTCGAGCATTTTCGTGTTTAATAAACAGGAAGCAAAGGGTGCTATGAAATGTGTTTTAATACTAAGGTATATTTTATTACATATATTGAGTGAAATTTATAACTGACATATATATAGTCAAAGGAGTTGGGATTTATACTGACTCTCAGTCCCAAAACATTTCACCATTCTGGCCATTATAGATACAAAAAGTATTTGGAAAATTTCAAATACTTCAACTGATGATTAACACTGTGAAGTCACTTTACTTCCTTATACAATATACAAACACTCCAACTACCCCAATATATACTACATATATTATGTAAGTAATTACCCTTTAATGACATCTTTCTTCATGTACTAGATAGGAAGGAGTCCTCAAAAACACAGGAAGGCGTGCGTCCTCCCTCACACACCAACTTCTAGCCAAGAACCAGGATTTTTACAACTGATTTTGCACTGGTATGAAGAGAATGAAACCCCCACCCAACCTCAGTGTACCCACTAACACCACATTTGAAGTTGATACTTAAAATTACTTTAAACTAAGGTCTTCCATGTGGTAGTCCACTACACTGTCTACTCAACTATTGAGCTAATTAAATATATCAAGTTAAAAGCAATCAATTTGAGTAGTCAGTGCCTTATCAATTCTTTATTACAGATGTGAGTTTCACATTAAAAGTGAAGACCTACCTGAGTATTTTAAATGCATATTGATGTTTCCATTACTTTCATTAAAGTCAGTGTCTAGGTATAGACTACATAGAGCACTGGATCATTTACAGGCCTTTTACCTCTTGAAACCTACTCATCAATCTCATTCACAATTATAGTAAATTCTGACTAGAATCATGAAGTTCTGTTATTAGAGAAGCTTCTCAAGGTCTCCCAGTTCCAAGCATTTAACCCAGCTTTTCTTCCCGATTGCTAACCCCACAGGTCCATGTTTGGACTCTAAGTATATTTGTCATCTCATTAGATAGCCTAACATATAAACAAATTGTGCAGTTTATTTCTCTTTTTCTTTTGCCGGGGGGGGATAGATTGTTGTCCGTAAAGAGCATCTCAATCTGCAAAGTGGCTCTACATTTCCTGTTCATCAAAGAATGCTAAACAATGCTTTTTAAAGTCCATGCTTTTTAACAGGAAACAGAAAAAATATTGCAGAACAGTAATAACATTTTATATGGAAACATTACGTTACTTATTGATTTTGTTAATTATCCATATGCTATATATGAAAAGAATAGAAAAAATATATGCAGCGCACGGAAGATTTCAATTTAAATGCCGGCATGCTATTCCTTTTTTGTAAAACATACTAATTTAAAAAAAACAAGGTGCCACTTTGGGGGCATATTTAATATATTACCCAATATTACCAGGATTTCAGAGAAACTTAAAGGAGATTAAACTTTATCTTGTTCATTTAGATGAGCCTCCTTTTTATCTCCCCCTCCCCTGACCCCTGAATACATAGTTTGCCAGTAAGAAATGATCAAAGGAGACATTTAATTTAGGGATTATTTTTGTAAATGACTTACCAATTTAGCAACTTTTCCATAATCAATCCATCTGATTGTAGCAAAGTTTGTTGACTCTGCACAGTTGAACCCATGGTTAAATCCTGCATGGTATCCATACGGGAAGGTGATCATGAATTCCCCTGCCTCTTGGGTGATCTACATAACAAGAAAAGGAAGCAAACACCATAGTTTAAAACATGTTTTTAAAGAAATGAGAATTATATTTGCTGCAATGGCTATATCAGAAGAGCCATATGCCCATAGTACTCAGTCTTGAGTAAAGGCCAATAGTACTGAATGCATCTGGGGAATTATTACTGAATATATTTCAGAAACAATTCTTGGTAGCTACACACTTCCACAGAGTAGTAGGACAGAAGTTTCTGGACAGATCTGAATTCAGAGGATCTTTGTTAGCAAATCCTAAGGTACAGCAAGTGGACTGCCCAAGATGTGGGATGGCCACACAACAAATACATGTCCCTGGGTATAGCAAGAAGGGAAGTGTAATCCAAACAGCTGCTGCTAATTCACCCAGTGCTGGGAGCATAGAGTAAGGGCTAGCCAAACTAGTGTACCCCTTGATCTCAAGTAGCCTCCCTACACTGGCAGCATAGTTACTCAGTGATCCTTGGGGAGGGTGGAAGGAGAGTTTCTCCCCCCTTTCCCATCTCCACACATCACTTCAGTACCTGATCCATTTAGTTTAATTAGATTTCATAGGTGTAATTGATGGCATACTCTAAAAACACGGAGATAGCAGGATTAAATTTAAGAGCTAATTTTGCATAAAACCTATTACCAACAATGAGACAAACTACAAAGAATCCAGCTTGACTGACAGAGGCCAAGGTGAGTTCATAGGGCTCGTGGTCAAAGAAAACATCTTTTTCACTGCAAACTGAACACATTTGGTAGGGAAACCCAGTGGGATGCAATGAACACAGGATCCCATAAAGTAACTTTTTCAGTGTTTTCCAGGGGAATCAAAACTATACTTTTATATAGCATCCTTAACTAACCCTTACCAGCATAATTGATACCAGAGATTATTTCATTTTACACATTAAGCTTAAAGTCCTTTTTCCAACCTTTGGCATTCCTTCACCCAATTTTTCCTTCTCTTTCCCCCCTCCCCTTCCTTCTCTACCCTTTTTTTTCCTAATTTCCACCTATTTACATTCTCACTGATCTCCTGTCACACTTTTATCTTTTTCATTCCTTGGAGATCTCAAAACAACAGCAGAGTGTTCATATGCCTGAAGAAGGGTACTTGTGCCCAAAATCTTGCAAAGAACTTTGTTCCAGCTACTCAGTTGGTCTAATAAAAGATAGATATCACATCTACCCAAGGAATCTTGCCTGTCTATGTCCTAACCTTTGCAAAATTAAAAATCTCATCCCTAACACTATTAATCCAAGAATTAACACTTATCTTAATCTTGCTTTTTTTTAAATACAGGATTTAAGCTATTAAAAGGATTTTGCTATGTTTGTCTAGAACACTAATCTAGAAGTCTCCATTCAGGGGTCTGACAAACAGCCTAGTACCAAAACTATAGAGGTTTGAGATAAAGGACTCAAACAGTAATGGGGTCACTATACTGAAGTTTTGTTGTCACTTTAGATCGGGGTGGGCAATTATTTCAGGTGAAGGGCTGCTTATTGAGTTTTGGCAAGCTATCAAGAGATAGATAAATATTAATTTTCTAAATGTTTAGGGGCCCCACGGGCCGGATAGAATGACCTGGTGGGCCTGCCCCTGCTTTAGATGGTAAACAAGGATTTAGCCAAAGGATCACTTGGTTTTTATCAAATACAGTGATTCACTGCAAAGAGCCTGAAGCTCATTCACCAAGATGAAGCAGCAGCTAGAAAAAATAGGCAACTAAAAAGACACAAATATATGCTGTACAGCATCATTAATATAAACCATATCCCAAAACATCAAACAAAAGTAAATAGCAGGCAGCAAACAGCATGTCTAATACATTAAAGGAAACGCGCTCAGCACTGGCTTGTAACCCACCCGCACTACCAGCCTGCTCCCCGCACCAGCTCCAGGCTTGCCCGGTGGGGCTGCGCTGCAGCAGCAGCAGCAGTCCCCCTGCTTGCTGGCAAACGCTGCCCAGCGCAGCAAGCGGGGGGGGGGGGGGGG